ATTAAGCACTAACTGGAGTTTGGAGGCTACGAGGGTACGCCTACGCCTCGCATACTTGGTCAACCAACCCGATGGTGGTCTTCTGCGAGGCTTCGCATAAGCTAACCGTACCTCCGGAGTACGCCCCACGTACTCGGTTGAGTTGACTCAGCTGGATTTAATCAGTTGACTTAGTGGGTTTGACCAATTGACTTTAACTTTGACTTTGACCAAGTTTGACCTTGAGGGTATTTTTGGTATTTTGGGATTTTGATGGAATTGGTCACTTGGTGTAGGTATCGGTTAGAGAGCTGAGATTCGGAGTCGGACCTCATCAGTTCTGTTCAATTCGCGAGGTGAGTTTTCCTCACTGTACTTTTGGGTCGAAGGCACCAAGGACGGGCCCTTTGGATTGTTATCCTGGTTTATCGCATTCTTGTATGTTGTAGTGATCTGTTAGATTTGTATCCTGGTATATTGGATGATACTATGCTTAGTGATCTGTTAGATCTGTATGACTGTCTGTATATGCTAGCTAGGGTTTGATATGGTATATGTTGATATGTGATGGTATGTTGGGTTGAGGTGGTCCTGCTATCTGCTCAAGGATAAGAGTACCAGTCATGCTGAAGGTTCTGTGAGCGTACCAGATAGACTATAGGCCGATGGGGCGTTCCAGTCAGACCGAAGGTTTTGTATGCATGTTGTTTGTTATTATTATTATGATTATGTGTTGTGTTGTTACTTTGGGGGAACTCACTAAGATTTGGGCTTATAATTTTGGGTTATGTTTCAGGTACCTCAGATGACCGCGGGAAGGCAAAGGCGTGATCGTACACCTCCTCGTGTTTTGATTTATGATTTTGGGAAAACTATGATATTAAACATGTTTTGAAAACTATATTGTAAACAATGATGATTTGTGGATTGGTTTTAAAAGTTTAAAATTTTCATGAATTTTATGGATGTTACACTTCAACTGATATTCAACCTGAGCGACATACACTCCTTTTAAGTCTATTTCGTTGTCCCAGAAGGGACAACCAACTACAGCGATATATTTGTCTATAAGCTTCCAACACAAGGACTATACGTACAACCCTGAAAGCATGAATCCGACCAATCCCTTAATCCACACCACCATAAAAGATCTCAACAATCTCTAATACCAGAAATCCAATGAACTTACACTGCAACTTCCTCCGACCCATTATGCCGGAACCATTAAAAATCAATTTGGTTGTTGATCCTTCGAGCAGAACACTCAGTCCTTCTCCATTCAGGGCTTACTCCCTTATTGGCTGACATCTTCCACGTCGAAGCCTAAAACCAATTCATCTAAATACCCTCTAGACACGACTCTCGGTATGCAAATGGCATATGACAATTCTGTGAATAATAACCAACAATCGTAAAGAAATCATGAGTCTTAGATGGAGACGTCTGAAACTCTTCCCAACATCATCACCTCGATCTAAACGAAATCGATTAAAATACCATTGGATTGGCAAGACACCTTACGAACAGAAAAATCACACTAGTGCTTCCAAAACTCACAATTGGTGGCTAAGGTTTCAAAGGAATGATATGAGGTGATGGAAGCTGGTAATGGGAAGGGTTCCAAGAAGTTAGAGCCCTTAAATAGGGCTCAAAGCCTTCGGATTAGGGTTTTGGTCAGTAGCGGCCACGCCTTACAGAGCAAAACCTACACCATGTGTAGATCATTAAAATTGATTTCCTTATTTAATATATGCGCCCTGTGTAGCTTGCCTATGCCCTGCGTAGGGCAAAACCCCTAACTTCCGATTCAACTTCAAACAGCCATAACTTCTTCGTTTCAACTTCGTTTTCGGCGTTCTTTATATGCACATAAAGGTATTGAAGAGCCTCACAATTCTATATAGTTACTTTTGGCTTAACACATATTGAACTAAAACCATAATCCATGCAAGAAGCCCGACATCTAACTTTTCCCATTTTACCCTTAGTTCCAGCACATGAATCAAGCGTTTAGATCTCATAATCAATATTATCAACCTTTAATAAGGTCTAAACTTTAATTCCTAAAGGCCCAAAGCCTTTACTTGATCGAATTACAGCCCACAAACCCTGAATTAGGAAATGTCCCGAAATAGGGTGTTACAACAAAGATATGAAAGTACAATGTTTAAATACAAAGAAATGAAAGTACAATACTCAAATATAAAGAAATGAAGGTAGGTTTTAAACTCACTATAATCGTTAACAATGACTCATTGTGGTGCAAAACATCATCAATGAGAAGTAAGACTTCGTCCATCTGAATAAATAAAAATAAAAAAAAGCCAATGGAGTAACCCATTACGTTAAACCGAAAAAAAAACTCAAAGAGAGTGACTCACTTACATTTTTTTGACAAATGATATAAATGTACTGCAATTATTTATGCAAAAATAGCAACATATTTACAATATATTACTCAAAATAACAATATACTTGCATTTCTTAACAGAAAATAGTAATAGGTAAAATCATATTTGTAAGCATTATACAAGTTTCATGTTACAAACACAATCAAAATCAGCGTCTAATTAAGAAATCCATAAATTGATTTTTAACAAAATGAAATACCAAATTGTTAATGAACATACGTCGATGCCTCTCTTTTAATCAACTGTAAGCACTCTTATCCGGGTTTATCAATACAACAACCGGCTCTTTTGTTTTTTGGTATTAAATATTTAATTAGATTAGCACATCATTACTCTTATAACACAAACAAATTCCAAATATATTTGTTTCTTTTTGTTGATTTATGAACCATAAGAAAAAGTACACATTAATGGCAACAAAAAACATTCACTAACAATCACAATTACAATCACAATCACAGACTATACCTGCACAAAACGGGTAATCTGGACATGGATAAATATCATAATCAGAAGTTGTGGTCATATGTGAGATGCCTACTCGAGTCGGGAACACCAGAAACATAGTATTAGCAACTATACAAATGCAAAAAAGAGGAACTGCACACCATTTTTATGATTATCGTAAAATCAAGAATACAAATAAGTTGGTATATATAATCTAACCATTGCTCCATGTATAGTCAAATCCTTTATCACTATATTTCTAGCCAAAAAAATATATAATTGAGTAAGTATGTCACTGATACGTGTCTAAGATGGTACTCAAGACCACTGCCATGGCCTAACCTATTAGCCACGTTTCTTTTATTTAGTCAAAGTCTCAAAGAGTAGTTGCATTTTGTTACCTGTATAGTGACATACCTTACATACAAGCTCTCCATGTATAGTCAAATCCTTAATCACTTCATATATCCCAACTGAATTTTTCGAAGAGGGATTAGGGGGTTTTCAGAGCTGCCTTTTTGAACCATGGTGAATCCATGATTTTGGAGATTGTGCAGCAACAATCCGAATTCAGATCGTGCAATTTCATGATGAGTGGGCATGCGTCGGACACCTAAAATCTCCTTAGTAATCTTCCAGTATCGCCACAACTTTTTCATCCCCGGAAAGTATGAATCCGACGAAAAGGTTTTCGTAGAAGATGACTCCACAAGACCATATATCAGTATTCGTGTATTCTTTTACTTTGGTGTTAGACCTTTTCAAAAAAGAAATACAATAACATAAAAGACAGGAGACTTCCAATTACCCAAAAGCCATCTCGTATCAGTAAGGATCAAAGACACAAGAGTTGACCAGATCAAATTTAGATAACATATTAAGATGCCAAGACCCAAATTCAAATTCTCACACTTTATGGGACAAATTGAGAGACAAAGATAAGGATTCAAACAAGTTTTTATCACGTCCAAGACCATATAAAGATGCAAATTCTCACACTTTATGGAAATAAATCCCTGATTTTTCTGCTGCAATGACTATAAATTTAAATAAAGGGCATAATTCTCATTACATAAAATATTTCAGTAAGTTCAATACATATCGATTGAAGGCAAACGGGCAACAAGCTGCGCCGTAAGCCCTTTCTGGATAGCAAAACCAATTCTTTTGAAAACTACATTTGTGGATCTAGGAGATATGACATTAGAATGCATGACCCGTTGGACTCTATTGAGGAGCTCCACCGCCTCTGGTGCGAGAAAACCAAATGTATCGAATGCAAAAGGAACAAACACATGTTGATTTGCTATACATGCATTCTCGTGTTTTACCACTTTGCACGCAGCGGCTTTCAAAGCGGCATGCCCAACTGTGAAACCCCCGCTCCCCAAACCAACGAGAGGAGAGACCCTAGTAAGATCCACGCACGCATGCTTCCCTCCTATCCATCCAAAGACCAAAATGTCAGTCGGTCTAAGTGTGGACCTTCCATCCTGCGGGTCCGTCAAAAAGTTCACTGGCGCTTCTTTCTTCACAGAAATACCAGCACGCCGACAAGCATCAAAGAGAACATCCCGAACCACATCATGTCTATACTTGAAACCGGGGAGCTCTCTACAATGAACGGCGTGTTCCCCAAAGGTATCCAAACATGCCTTGCGACAAACTGGACATATATCGTCAATTGGGAATATGGGAATCATGAGGCGGTAACGAATAATAGTTCGGTACTCCACAGGAGACATATGTTGGCCAAGACCATCAATAGGGATAGTTAGCAGAAAATCCTGAGCATGAGGTGCCCGCAGACACTCAAAGACTGCTTTCTGTCTGACAGTCATGTCAAAGTCGACTTCCATATCTTGGACGATTTTGCTAAAAAGGGCACACGCCAAAGCTTTTTGGGATTTAGGGGGGGGGGGTGTCCTTATTAGTGAAACCGCTACAGTCAAATCCCGGAATCGTATTGCAAAGACGAGTCATAGCATATAGGTAATCCGAGTCCATACCAGATAACGTAAGATGTGGATAAATCAAAGAAGATTATTAATTGCATAGATCGAGAAAATAAAGTAGACAACATGAATATATGGAAATAACAAGCTTGACTTACGTAAAAAATAACTAGAAATTTGATATAGAATAGAAAAATACTCATATTTGAGTCGTTGTTATGATTAAATATTTAAATAGACCCCTGAAAAGTCAAAGGCTACCCACTTCGTATACTTTTCAAAAGATGCTATATTTCTTAGCTCAGATTCTTCTAAGATATAGCGTATAATTGGATTAAAGATGCTTGTTCCAGTTCATAGAAAGGTCATGACATGTGTAGGTTCAGAGATCGATCGTTATATCTCACGATTTGTTTTGGGGATCGAAAAACATTCTAACAACAAAAATTACTGAGAAAGGAGATTAATCATACATGAATATATCATAATATCACACCAAATCGCAAAGGTTCATCGATACTATAACAACACGAGCACGTCTGTTTCTTTATTCACCATCTTAATTTATTCTTTGAATGGAGAAACACACATCTAGAACTTCCATTCATTACCGTCTTTGATAAATTAGAAATATTGCAGAACTACTTAGTGCTGCTATGGGCATCCAAGTCCTTCACGAGATTGCAAAGGTAGTCCATCAAAGAAGTTGGATAGGGGGTACTTATATCTGGCTTCTCAAACTCAAAGGTCCAAGTCGCGACCTGTCCATCACCCTTCTGTTCAACATGCAAGATGATTGTAAAGGTCTTGTATATCTCCTCCACCAGATCTCCTCCAATAATCTTAAACACAATCATGTGGTTTTCCTCATTGACTGCTTCAATTATCTGCTTAGAAGTTTTCTTCTTTCCCTCTGTTGTTCATGCAGAAATACAAAGAATTGAATCACAGTATTGAACTGATGATGATTTACTATACAAATTCAAATCTATCAAAGACCCTAGATTCTTAATGAAACAAGTATGTATGAATAAATAAACAGAAATAGTGTTTGTCATATTACGTACCATGAGTATAGTGCCAACAGATTGTCGATCCAACGACCCCCCTCTCACCAGCATGCAGTTCACAGTCATGGACCTTATCAGGGGATATCGCAACAATCTGATGTGGGTTGTGCCTAAAGAGATCATGGAAGACATCTCCCTTTTTACTAATCTCTACATGACCAATTAATTTTCCGGATAGAGCCATCTTTCTATTAATGCCGCAACCCTAATTTAACCACTTCTTTACAAGATCGTTGATGAGTTCTTGGAAAATACATGGGCGACCTTATATAGAAAATTTTGGCCCCCAAACTCCAACATTTATAATTTAATTAATACACTTACTATTTTCAAGATATCATTCTATATAGACAATGTAACATGATAGGGGTGACAGTAATTTATGCACTTTTAAGATGCACAAGAGTAATTTATGGGAGATGATTTGTACACAATAAGTTTTCTCCATATATAACAATTAATGTTTTATAATGTTATACTTTACAACTCTATAATACATAAACTGTTGTGTATGCAAAAAACTGTTATGTATGAATCACTTTCCGTAATTTCTAGAACTTATATATATATATATATATCTTCCCTAATAAATGAAAATAATTTTGTCACTTGTCATTCTTTTATGCATTATGTTACATGTTATTTTGTGGTAAATTTAAATTAAATTATATACATATATCATTTTGTGGTTTTTTTTATTAAATTTATATAATACTTAAATGTAATAATAAATGTAATAGCAAATGTATGGCCAATTAATTAATACAACTTTCCTTATAATTTTTAAATTTCTAAATTGAATCTAATTATTTTAGTTGTTTATTTATTTGAATTATTAGTTTAAATTTAAAAGATAAATAAGCACTTCAATTTTAATAATTATTTTTTTTACTTTTTTCTTATAATTTTAAATTTTCTAAATTGTTAGATCTTCATGTTTGTTTATTTTTTTGAATAACCTTGAAACATCCGAAAAATACAACCCAAAAATTTCGTTTTCAAAATCATTTAGCAAACATGAATATCATCGCCGTGGTATAAGATCATAAAACATGTATCTCAAAATCTCATAAAATCTGTCATCATAACACGATCTCATATAAAACATCAGAGTAAACTCCCAGGCTAAGAAAACTGTGGTGTGTGTCATGCCATCATCCCGAGACCTTTCCCTTGCTAGCTGAAGTACCTGAAACCAAAACTGAAACTATAAGCAAGGAGCTTAGTGAGCTCCCCCAAACTACCTCATACCATACAATAACACATATAACAAATACTGGGCCTTGCCCACTGCATTGGGCCCCGCCCGACATCGGACCAGAGTCCGGCATAAATTGGGCCCTGCCCACTGCATCGGGCCCCGCCCGGCATCGGACCGAAGTCCGGAATAACTTGGGCCCCGCCCACTGCATCGGGCCCCGCCCGGCATCGGACCGAAGTCCGGAATAACTTGGGCCCCGCCCGGCATCGGACCGAAGTCCGGAATAAACTGAACATAGCATAAGCATGAACATATAACATAATCACATATACTGCATCGGGCTTGCCCGACATCGGACCGGAGTCCGGAACATATACACATAACATAAACATGCATGAATGACGAAGACATCAAGCATACATAACTACTTCTCGGGACCACCCCGGCATCGGACCGAAGTCCGGAACTACTATCATCTAAACGGGTCAGCATTGTGGCCGTAGACCTGTTCCTACTGGAAGGAAACTCACCTCGTATGGCTGACTGCTGAAAAACTGGGTGAGGGATCCCTATCTGCTGCTCCGGCGACTCTCCGGCTATAATTCCATAACAACACTTAATCAAAACTGATAATCCCTCTTAGGGTAAAATGACCATTTTACCCTCCTGGTCAAAGTCAACGCCATGGTCAAAGTCAACTCTCAGTCAACCAAACTCGCCGAGTCCCTCTACCGACTCGTCGAGTTTATCGGTCACAACATCGGGACATCTCGATTCTACTCGTCGAGTCTCTCCTTGGACTCGTCGAGTTCTTTTGTTTCCGAGTCTCACTCATTTCTAACTCGCTGAGTCATCTCCTTAACTCAGTGGTTTCACTCATAATCAAAGAAGGGTTTGGGGACATCGATCAGACTCGTCGAGTCCCAAGAACAACTCGGCGAGTCCATTGCATGCTCAGATTATACAATTGATCCTAGGTGATTCCACTTCCTCTAATTCATATATCTGGACTCCTTAGGCTAGAATAACACGTAAAGTTGCTAACTTTACATGCATGCATGATGCTATGAAGCTAAATCACCCAAAACAAGCTAGAAATGAGAGTCTAGGGCATAGAATGGGATCTTGGCTGAATAAAGGTGGCAACTTTGTGCTTCTAGAGCTCAAAAGTGCCTAGATCTAAAGTCCTTACAATCCCAAAAGCTCTCTCCCCGAAATTAGCTTGGAAAGGACCCAAAATTGGCAACAAACAAGCTTTCATGAAGATCTAAGTGAAAATAAGCCAAGGTATAAACTTTATACCTTCAAGAGCTCTGAAATGCAACAAAAACTCTGGATCTCCTGCCTCTTCTTGAATCACCAATAGATCTCTTCCTTCTCCTAACTTCAAATCACACAAAAATGGCAAGAAAGGCTTTAAGACACTCAATGGTTGCTAGGGTTTCGAGAATGGACTGTGGAGGTGATGGAGGCTGGGGTGAAGACTCAAAATGTTGCTTAAATAGGGTGCAAACCCTAAGGATTAGGGTTTCCTCCTGATGGACCTACTCGCCGAGTCCATTTCTGACTCGTCGAGTAGTCCACTTAAACTCTGCGGTCCAGCTCGCATCTACTCGACGAGTTAGGGCTACCAACTCGTCGAGTAGCTCTTATAAAATGAACATTTAGAGAATTACTTTCGTACCAGGAATTGGGCGTTACAATTCTCCCCCACTTGTCTTAGACTTCGTCCTCGAAGTCTGTTGAATCTGGAAACATCTCCAGAGGGCACAAAGTCATGGGGAGTAACGAGGTGGTACTCAAGACGACGAAACTGATTCAGCAGGTTCGCGACAGACTTCAGAGGGCACAGAGTCGACAGAAGAGTTACGCAGACAGACGCCAGTCAAACTTGGAGTTTCAGGTTGGAGACATGGTACTCCTAAAGGTGTCACGTTGGAAAGGTGTCATTCGATTCAGGAAGCGGGGCAAGCTGGGCCCCAGTTATATCGGTCCTTTCAGGGTTTTAGCCCAGGTGTGCAAGGTTGCATATCATTTGGATCTTCCCGAGTAGCTTAGTCATATTCATAGCACTTTTCATGTCTCTCAACTGCGGAAGTGTCTGGTTTGTGATTCTACAGTGGTTCTATTAGAGGACATTCAGGTGGATGATCGCTTGAATTATATAGAGAGACCAGTGGCGATCCTTGATAGGAGGACGAAGACCTTGCGGAACAACGTGGTGGATCTCATGAAGGTGTAGTGACAACACTGAAAGGGTTTGGAGTGGACGTGGGAGCATGAGGACGATATAAGGGAGCATTACCCAGAGCTATTTGCGGCAGCAGACTTCGAGGAAGAAGTCTAATTCAAGTAGGGAAGAATTGTAACACTCGGTTCCAAAGTATTTATTATTTCGAACCTTATTATTAAATTAATTTGCAAATTTGGTACCAAGAGGGTGAAAGTGAAACTTTTGCGAAGGAGGGAGTATGTCAAGTGTACTCCTAGTATGTCGGGTGTACTCCTATTACGCCGGTCGTACGTTGTCTAGGGAAAAACCCTAATTTTTAGGGTTTAGACCCTATTTAAGCATCATTATGGATCTTGAGGATGCCCTCTCATCGGCCTCCTTACCTAAGAAGATAACCCACGAAACCCTAGCCCTCTTTTGAGTGTTATTGAGCTTTTTGTGATCTTGTAGCACTTTTGGGTGGTTCTTGGTGAAGAAGAGAGTTCCTTGAAGAAGAAGTGGTGCATTCAAGCTTTGGATCCAGACTTTACACCTTCTTGTGCATCCTTAGAAGGTATCAAGCTCACACCTTCGAGTTCTATGTTCTAGATCTCATATTGTTCATGTTTATGCACTTTTTGTCCTAAAACCATGGTCTTATAGAGCATAGGCTACTACAGACCATTTGAGCTATCCTTTATGGGCGTTTAGGAGTTGATAAAAATCTAATTTGGGGCGTACACCATGCTGTGAGCCTCCTTTGATTTTGGGTCACTTTTGGGCCATTTTGGGGTTATGGTCTTTCATATTTAGGCCAAATAAGGCAATGGTAAAATGGACTTTTACCCTAGGAGTCAGGATTAATGACTTAGACTCTTGGATATGGTTTTTGCCCTAATTATTAATTAGGATGTTATTTGATCGTATTTAGTGCAGAGATTTCTCGGATAGCAGCCCGAGCAATTATCTGATTTTTCAGCAGTTTGAGGTGAGTCTCCTCCTAGTGTTTAGTGGGTCGAAGGAACCAATATTGACCCATGGATTATTTTTATCTTTATTTCAGTTTTCTGTGTGACCTTCCATGTGTGTATGTATTGTATGTATGTCGGGCGGGGCCCGGTTCCAGGCGGTGCCTGATGGGGATGTTGGGCGGGGCCCATCACATGATACAAACGAATCTGTTCCGAGCAGGGCTCGATGCCGGGAGGGGCCCGATGGCTGTCGGGCATGGCCTATTGTATGTTTGATATGTATGGTATGAGGTATTTTGGGAAAATTACTAAGCTTTGTGCTTATGGTTTTCTGTTTATGTTTTAGGTACTCCCGGATCGAAGGGGAAGTGCCCGGGATGATCGCATTGCACACACCTTGATTTTTCCGCTTATTGACTCTGATGTACTTTTGGGATGTTATTTGGTTTACTCTGAATATTTTATGGTTTGACAAACATGTTTGGTTGATGGTTTACATACTATAAAAACAATTTTTTTTTAGTTTTGGGACGTTTTATATATATATATATATATATATATATATATATATATATATATGTGTGTGTGTGTGTGTGTGTGTGTGTGTGACTTTTCACGTGAGATTAAAAAAAATAGAGATCTTGAGATTCAACCTTAGCCACATATTTCTCATTTGTCACTCTAAAGCTCCAGCATACCGGCAACAACAGGGTATACCCAATCGTAAATGATTATATGACAGAGAGGTATAATCATATATGATTATACACGTTTATACGTATATTCCTAATCATAAATTATTATATTTATATGTATGTATACAGGTTAAGTAATCATATATGATTATAATGGATAGTGGCAGAGGAGGCGGTGGTGGCAGAGGTAGAGGTGATGCAAGTGACGGAGCTGGCAGTGGTGGGGTCGATTGGTGGCAGA